TTTCACAGTGGCTGCGAGTTGATACCGTAAGTTGATACCGTAATCGCGAAAATTCGCGATTGGCTCCATACTGCAAATCTAAGTTGGAGCCAGCACTACAAAATGTTACTCAATTATTTCTCCAAAGATCTCATGACAAAATTATTAACAATCAAACGGAAGGCACATTTTTTCAGGACACTCTACAAAATTTTTCCCTTTCCCTAAAATTCTAAAAAATTTTACTTTCAGTTGGAACTCAGTACGCTGGAATAAGCCTTCAACTACGGGTTATAGAAGCCACTCAGCAGCGATAGCGTCGCGATTTGAGCCGAAACCGAAGCCTTTCTACACTCCGTCCTCCACAACCACCTCGGCCACACCTCGCACCACAGCCACACCACGATACTCGAATGCAAGCAGTGAAGCCGCCAAAATCGCAGCTCAGGTGGCAAGGTACGAACACGCTTTTTCTAACCCAATGAATTTTTAAAGAAAAAATATTCCAGTCTCGGCCCATCAGTAACAGCCCGAGCGTCGCGATTTGACACCACCACGCGCGATAGTGCGAGCAAATATCGCAGCGAAGCACGCGATATCATCAACAAATGGACGAGCCGAGAAAGGAATAGTGGTGAGATTATCAATGTCTTTGCTTGTGATGTTGTGCCTAGATAATCAGAGGTTTCTTGCACGACAAACCCGTAACGAAACGTAGATCTTTTGTACTAGTCAGACTTTATGTTGATGAGCAAAACCCTTCTCCAGATTTGTTAAAAGCCATCTCATTTTTTCGAGATAAGATTTCCATTCACAAACAGATCTATGCGCATACAGATAAAAACCATATTTTCTAATCTATTTGATCAATGAATATTCTCATGAGCTGCGCAAAACAGAAAATTCTCCGAGTTTTGTACCCAGTGATCTGATAGCGTGATCTCCGTCATTACGGCCGCGATATTTTGCACTGATTTATAGCAGTCATGCTTTCATCTTTCACAATATTAGGTTGTTCCGAAAGTTCTGTCCGATTTTGAATT